TCCTCTCCTCTCCTCTCCTCTCCTCTCCTCTCCTCCCCTCTCCCCCTTCGGTGTGTCCACCTTGCAGCCATATAGGATTTTTAACACATGGCTTGGGGACCCTTCCAAGAATCTCCTGCTAGCAGAAGTCATTAACGTTATAAAAAGGGAGGATCTTCTGAGCAACGTCATCCATGCAGGGAAGGCCCTGTTGACAGGGCTGCTGGAATTGCAGGTAAAGATGCCTTAAAAGACAAGCGGTTAAGTGGTTTTTGTAGTTTGATGTGAAGCGGGAAATTCTGCAATCTCAATGGGGGTACAGTTTTTAAAATCGCCTTTCTCTTTAATTGGGATTCATGACGTGAATTTGATTTGTTTTGTGGACTCGGTATACAGTGGACAACGTGCCATAGTTAGTTTTTCTGTAAAAAAAACCAAAAATACATCTGTCCCCTCTCTGGAGTTTTACAGCCCAGGTCTGGTAATTGTAGTTAATTATGTGTGTGTCTGTGATTGGCCATATTGTGTAACTCAGTCTGTTTAGTCTGTGATTCAGTATATTACGGGTTAATTATGGGTGCAAACCCTGCCATTGTCTTCCACATTATTTTGACTGTCAAGTAACAGATTTGGACAATTTGTGAGATGCAAAGCAGCCTGGGTTTTTACAGTTAAATATGAAAAGCGATGGGCAAGACCTGTTTAGTGGGATCTCTGATGCCCACCAATGGAGCTCCTATGGCCCAGCAGGGCTGGTGATGGATCATGCTATGACAAGCAGGCTAGCAGACCTGGACCTCCATAGCCATTCACATGTTTCCACTGCTACAGTTGAAGCCCAGCGTCACCATAAGTGGAGCCAATGGCTGTTAGATTCAGGAGTGGCTGGAGGCTGAGAAAGCTAAGAAGCCATTAACCCTAAAATCGAGAGCGTATAGCCAGATGTTGGAGGGAAGGTATCTTTGGACCAACACAACACTCTTGTGTTTCAACCAGCTTTCAACCAACCCTTCTCTCAAATCCATAGAAAAAGGTCAATGGATGCAAGTCCCTTCATGGCCCTTTTCACACAATGTGGACCACCCATAACCTGTTCTCACAACCCATTTGCTCATTTTTGTGTGCCAACAACACATCGTCCAGGAAGAATGGGTCCACAAGGGAGTTGCAAAACAGTAGTTGAAAAATGGGAGAAAAACCTACCGGAAAACCAAAGTGGTGGTTTCCCAGGGGCTGAAAACTGGAATGACAGCTGGTTCCCTGTCGCCCACGGCTGGAATAGCGTGATTCCAGCAGCTACTTGGATTCTTAACATCCAGCACATGCCTGTCACAAACACACCCACACACCCCAAATCTACTCTGGAAGGTTAGGAAGACCCCACCAAGCAGAGGAATTTGGAATTTCACTGCCCCAGCACTGTTGTTCTGGTTTAATAACAGATGTGGCACGCTTCTCCATGTAAATAAAACCATGCTTTTTGTGATGATTCAACAGAGTGCAAGTCAGACCCTTTGTACCAGTGTCCAGCGTGGCACAAAGCAGACAATGACATCATTGTAAAATTGCTAAGAATGTGGCAATTATGCAGACTGCATAAAGACTTAACAGCTGCATTTCCACAATATGTGAAGCTTCATCACGGTTATCTGTAGTGGGTTGGCTGGTGTTGTGGCTAAAGGTGTAGTGTGCAAAACCAGATAATTTGAGTATTTTATGGTTCACTGGATTGTGCAAACCCAAAAGAGGGTTCAGTCAATAACCAAGGTGACCATCAAATGAACATCCAGCACATTTTTTTTTAAGTCCAGCATCTGGGAATTACATTTCCTCCCCCTGCCTTTTTTCAGCACCTTGCTTTCCAAGAAGACGACAAAGTGTGATTTACCTTTTCCTTCCTTGTAGAGTCGCTACCCCCATCTGATCAGCCGAGCCCGGGGGCGAGGGACGTTCTGCTCCTTCGACACTCCAAATGACACTATTCGGAATAAGCTGATCGAAATAGCAAGAAACAAAGGTGAGATGTTGTGCTTTGAACTGGGGTTGGGTCTCCTGCTGTGGGATCTCAAGATTGGGGAGCACTTAATAAATCACGTTTTATGTTTAAAAAAAATAAAGCTTCACTTCAGGCTTAACCTCAAGTGGGGGTGGGCAAAAATAGAGCAGCAATTTGCCACTGTTTTCGTTAGGGACTTTTTGAACTTCACAGTCTAGTCTGTGGCCCTGAGATCTCCTGATGGTCTCCTATCCCCTTCCAAATGCTAAACAGGCCTAATCCTGCTTAGTTTCTAAGTCCAGATGAAAGCATGGTGCCACCTACTGAGATTTTTCTTTTTATCAGACTGAATTATGCATAAATGATTGAGCAACTGCATAAATTGTGTTTATTTTGCCATCTACATTTTAAAAGCCAGTACTTCATTATTAACTCTTAGATGGTGTGAGGCTGTCCCTGTTTCTAAGGTGATAATATAGGTACGCAATTTTGAATGAAGGAGGGAGTGAAACAGGAAAAAAGAAGCTATGCTACCACGAAAAATTGATATTTTATAAATCATAGCTTCCAATAGAAGAGAATTTCCATAGCTCAGGGTTGAACTGTGGAGTCCTTGATGCTCTCTGAGCTCGGTTGTTGCCTTGCAGACGTTTCATTACCTGACTAGGTAACATCACCAGGCGCCGATGTGGGTGGGTAATGAAACATATAAATCATAGGGTCAAAGAAGTGAGTTTTTGGTCCTCCTAGCAGAAGAAATCCATCGGCCTCTTCCATTTCCAGCTTTGGTTGAAAAGCTTATGAGTGACGTCTAATGAAAGCTAAGACTCTGGGTGTGAGTCTTCTATGTTTTTCTTCCCTGTCTGGCCTGCTTACCTAAGATTCTCGTGATTCATATGAGCAGGACATTTGACCTCCTGGGTCACATTCAGAAGGCTAAGCGTGGCCTGCCCTTTCAACCAGAGGAGGACCTTCCGTTTTCCAACTCCAGCCCTTTCTCCAAAATCCCCCTATTTTCCTGTTCCAAGGAATTCCACAGCTACGGAGCATACTTAGCGAAGGATGTCCTCTTAGATGGTCTTCGAGAGACTCCCTGCCCCGCCATGAGAAATTGTGGGGAGGCCATGAAAGGAAGGGAAGGGAAAGGAGATGTAAGCCATCAAGAGACAGAAGGCGAGTCTGTTGGCAGCTCATCTCGTAAACAGCAACTCGGCCCAGGTGCGGAGAAACCCGGGAAGAAGCGTTTCAGATCATGCAAATGAACTCCCTAGAAATTGCTTTTGCAGCGTCCAAGATTCTGTATTTGCCCCACTGTAGCATTAAAGCATTCCTGAAATCTGGTTAGATCTTCTTTCCACGATCTTCCCCATGTATGTGGGGCTTGACATCTTTTCCTTGGGGGGCGCACAACCTATTCTTCCAAGCCTGATGCCTCCAGCATCTTAGTGGCCCTGTTTTGACTCTCAGTATCTGCCACCTAAGTTCACTATTGCCAAGAATGATTTGGTCCAGATTATATTTTATTTAGTTACGTTACTTTAGTGAAAAGTAATGATAGCCCACCACTATCCAGGGGATCTTGTGATGGATTACCTGCTTTGTCTGTGTGTCCTGTGTGATTAAAGCAGTGTTTCTCAACCTTGGCAGCTTGAAGATGTGTGGACTTCAACTCCCAGAATTCCCCAGCCAGCA